ATTGTAGATTGATAAAAACACAAATTTGTTATCTAAAGTTTTTATAAATCTTGTCGAAACATCACCGAAACTTGACATATTGATGTGAAATGAAAATTGACTCATAAAACCATCTAAACTAACATATAAAAAATGGTGAACTGATTTCTATTAAATTTCTATGACTATATGGTTGAAAATATAAACATGAATGTTTTTCACCTAAGACATCAATATAAACTCGAAAAAACCTAAAAGATAATATAACAAACAATTAGGATGCATCAAAATGCATTTAATGCAATGCATTTAAACATATATGAGAATTAAAGGCAGAAAGAAGCAAGTTGGCACTTGCCTGAAGATTTTGCTACCGAAAAGACGATCTTCAAGCTGATGAACATATGCCGAAAGACTCATCTCTTCCTCCCCCTAGATCGGACAGCCCTGTGATGTTAGAATATGCAAAAATTCTGATCTCTAGGGTTTTTGAGACTTCATATAGAATATATAACTTAACAAGTGGACTAACGGGTTGACCGCTTTGGACTTAAAACCCAATAAGGCTTTTTTAAAACCTAAAGTTCCTTCTATAAATCTTTATTTTAGAAAAGTAAACACAAATATCCGTCTAAACTAATAAGAAAAAGACTCTACCTAATGTCTCGTTGTTGAAAAGTCAATCACAAGATTAATTTTTGCTCTCTACAACATGGTGTTACAAAACTGGGATTTTAGGGATACTTTGATACTATTTTTTAAGGATACTTTTGATTTTTTTTAGAAGCAATCAATAATGATATTTGGTAAAACTTTCTCCCTAACCTCATGTTGTTGAAAAGTCAATCATAGAATTAATTTTCACTCTTCACAACATGGAGTCTTACAAAACTTGGTTTTTAGGGCAGCTTTGATATTGTTTTTAAGGGTACTTTTGCTTTTTTTAGAAACAGTTAATAATGATGTTTGGTAATTTATTTGTATACTAATTGAAATTGCTTTTGTTTTTAAGATGATGCTTTTAGAAGCTATCTTAGGATATCTTTAAAATTAGCTTCTTCTTTTTTTAGTCTATATACTATATATGAGATTCATCTTTTGATAATAATATTTATGCACAGTTGTTACCAAACACCTAAACTGTTGTTAGAAACATGTTCTGATATATGATTACCAAAAGATTATTTTCGGTAGCTTATATAAGTCGCTTATATAAGATACTTATATAAACAACTTATTCTCCAACAATATCAAACCGATCTTTAATAGTTAAGTAGATGGAAGGACCAACATCAATATATTTAGGTGATTTCGGGGACTTAGGTTTAAATATATGAAGATATGGGGCACTATGATAAAAAAGCTATGATGCAAGGGATTATTAATAATTAACTAGTATAGTACACGTGCATTGCACGTGGACATATTTGTTTCATGTTCTAATATTTTACACAATTCATTATTTAATTAATGGAAGATTTTCATTTTGAATGTAATTATAACAACATTTGAGGTCTTATTTGTAATTTTCTTACAATTTAGATCATATACTTCTTTCAATCTTCTTAAGATTTAAGTTTTGAACTATATAGGGGTTTATCTATAAAAAATTGTAAAGTTTTAGTATTTTTCTATACATATATGAAATTTCAATGGTCTTTGTGAAAATTATGAAGATCCATGGTTGTTTGTGAAAAAAATTCAGGGTTACTTTGTGAACATTGGTAAATTATGGAATACTCAAAAGATAAAAAAAAAATTTAAATCTTACAAGACATAGTTCTATTTACTTTATAATTTAAGATAATGAATGGCATTTAATAACTACTGGTAATTTTATATGCAAATTTAGAATATAGTTTTAATATTAGGGATGTTATAATATACTTATTATATAAAAAAAGTACCCAAAGGACAAAAATTCCAAGTTTGTTCTTTACTTTTATGTTAAGTGTGTCATGCTATTCCAGTTTATATTAATTATCTTTATTTTTGTTAATCCATTATAATAAAATAAAATTCTCACTTTCACATTCTCTCTCATCTATTATCATATAATTAATAATATGCTACAAAAAATATATCTACTAAGTTCATGGATAATACAATATTTCTCTCAAATCACAATTAAGTACATAGTAATAATTATAGAAATAGAAAAAAAAGTTCATTAAAACCCCCCAAATTAGACCTTAAACTTTAGCCTTAATCTGAATTCTCTACATTTCCTTGTATCAATCGTATCCTCAATCCGCATATAACCGTCAGTCTAACAATCACATCAGTATAAAGTATAATCCGAGTAAAGCTCGGTACTTCCTCAACACAACTTTAATCGTCTTCACCCCCTCCCCCCTTGTCATCATATCTTCTAGAGGGATAATGTTTTCACTGGCGAGCTTGTATCATCCAAATAATATCATAGTAAAGCCATGGGGTGAGTATATGATGTTGTTAGAGTTGTAAGAGGTGAGTGTAAATCTAAATCATCAAATGAGTGAATTTATATAGGTTGCAAGTAAGGACTATTATGATAAATAAAAAAAGCATGCTCTTTGGATTCTGTAACAGTCAAATATAATTGCACTAATGGCATTTTAAGTTGACACTTTGTTTGCAAATTGAAACGTATATTATTAGTTTGTCATATGCGCGTTTTAAGTGGAGGGGTTACAAAAAATAAAAGTTAATATTAGTGGATAATTAATAGGAGAGTTATGTCATTATTAAGAAATTGTATGCATGTAAGCATTTTAAGTTAACACTTTGTTTGTAAATTTAAACATATATTATTAGTTTGTCATATGTGTGTGCATTCAATTCTCGCACTAATGACATTTTAAGTTGACACTTTGTTTACAAATTTAAACATATATTATTAGTTTGTCATATGTACGTTTTAAGTGGAGGGATTACAAAAAATAGAAGTTAACATTAGTGGACAATTAATAGGAAAGTTATGTCATTATTAAGAATGTATGCATGTAAGCATTTTAAGTTAACACTTTGTTTGCAAATTGAAACAAAATTTTTTATTGTAACATTGATATTGGATGAGTGGAGGGGTTACAAAAAATAGAAAGTAATATTAGTGGATAATTAATAGGAGAGTTATGTCATTATTAAGAATGTATGCATGTATATGTATGTGTTTATATGTATGCAAGCATGTGTTTTATGGATGCATGTATGTGATTTGGAGGGTATTTTGGAAGAAATGTTTTAACATACCAACACACTTTTATAATAGTATTAGATAGTATTAGATTAGATTAATAACAGGCTAAAACACCAAATTGGTATATTTATACGAACGTATTTTCCAGTTTGGTATTTAAAAAAACTCCAACGACAACAATACATTAAAGATGGACCTTTTTGTCAACAAAGTACATTCTGTTCGCCGGCGGCCAAAACTCAAAATCTCATGGCTCAAGTGGCATTTAAAGGGGTGACGTGGATGATGAGTTGCCAGTTTACTAAAGAAAAGGCGGGAAATAACTGAACAAAAAAACCCTAAATCTCCAAATCAACCCTAATTGTCAGATTCCCCCTTCCCTCCCCCTCCCACCTCCCCCAAGACTCAAACTTTCTGCCCAGGAGAGAGTTCTCCCCCAAATTGGCAGTTACAAAGAATCTCTCTGAGGGAGAGATCGTGGATGTGAGGGTGGTGGGTCTTCTCCTTTACTGCAGTCTTCAAGTCGTGGAGGCAAAGGTAAGACATTGTAATTTCTTTTCCTTGTTTTATAGCGATGGAGGGTGGTGGGTCTTCATTTTTGTAAATAAAATAGTCTTCATTATCTTTAGTTAATTGCATGCATACAATCCGTGTTTACTTACCCCCAATTTAGGGTTTTGAAGTAAAACCCAATTTTTTTAAAAAAATTGTTCATATTTTTTTTGAAATTATATTGTTTTTAATTAAGTTAATTTTAAATTTATGCATATGAGAGTATTAATTATGGTTAAATTCCGACATGGTGGCTATTTTAATTTTAAGAAAATGATCACTACAATGGTATATGTGATGTTAGGTTCATAGCTGAGGATGCAATGTCTATTGAATTTCTCAGAGAAAAAATTGTAGAATTTGGCTACACGAATCTGTTCACATTGTAGTATTGTATTCCAGGTAGGGTTTTTACTTTTGAGCCAAGGTCTATTGCCTCTTACTTTGGAAGATAATTTGGAACTTATGTTACAATATGCTCATAAGGAAAGGGCAATTGAGATATTTTCAAATCATGGGGTTAACAGGGCTGAGTTGGTGGCAGATGAGGATGATGTGGAAATAATCAATGCACAAGATGAAATAGATCCAATCCAAGAGAATCAACCAATGCAAGAGAATGAAACATTGCAAGAGGCATCACTGCTACAGAATCAAGCAGTGCAAGAGCAACCAATGCAAGAGAATGAAGCAGTGCAAGAGATACCCAAAAAGAGAAATAAGCTGACACCAATAAGGAAAAAAAGTTTAGATGAAGGCCGAGTGGAGGATGAAATTCAATCTAGTGATGATGATGACTCAGTGGAAGATGAGACATATAAGCTGGACCCTACAGAGGCATTTAATAATGAGATAGATGAGGATGATGGGAAAGGGTACGTTGATGAGTTTAATGGCAAAGTAGAGAGTGGGAAAGTTAAACAAAAGGGTTTGAATGAGGGGAGTAGCAGTGCGACTGGTTATGCAAGTGATGATTCAATGTGTGCTTTTGATAGTGAGGCTAAGGGGGCTTTGGACAGTGATGTTGAGGAGTTGTATGAAATTAGAAGGATGAATAAAGATAAGGTAAGTGCTGCAATTGGTAGAATAATATTCAATGCTGGTGCTAGATTGACAAATAACGATGAGGGACCTCCTGCTACTCTACTAGAGTGGGTGTGTTTCAGCCACTTAACACAGAGGAAGTTCAAGGTAATGTAGTACACAATGATAGAGCTACTAACATGAATGCACAGGGGGTAACACAAAAGAAGTTCAAGGTAATGTAGTACATAATGATAGATCTACTGACATGAATGCACAAGGGGGTAACACAGAGGAAGTTCAAGGTAATGCAACTTCAAACACAGTAGAGGAAGGGGGTGTTTTAGACAACACAAGCAGCACTGTAGGCTACAGAGATAATTGGCCATCTTTCTGGTTGAATTACGAGGGAGGGTACGAGTCAGAGCAAAGAGATAGTGAGGATGAAGGCTCATTAGATGAAAGTGACATAGAAGAATTCAAGAACAAGCTCCAGCCCCATCTCAGGTTAAGAAAACTCAGGATGAGGAAGAAGATTAAGTATCCATTCTTCAATGAGGACATGGATATGAGTTCAGTGTACTTTGCACCTGGATTGAAGTTTACATCAAGGAAGGTATTGAAACAAGTTATTCTCAACTACTTTATTCAAAATCATTGACTTGCTTTATATGAAAAATGATAAAATGATAATAAACGTTGGTTGTTCATTGTGCTACTAGGAAATAAATGATGGGCCTAGCTGTGAATATGAACAAGTTTGGCAAATTAAAAGCATTCAACCATTGCACACTTGCAGTAGAACATTTAAGAATAGGTTAATTACAGAAAATTGGGTGGCACATGAGTTCCTAGATAAAATTTTAAGAAATCCCAAGATGAAACCAAGGGAAATCTGTGAAGAAATAACTGCAAATTATAAGATCAATGTCACTCTTAGAAAATATCAGAGGGCAAAGGATAAGGCATTGAATGCTATAGAGGGACTGATGGCAAGACAATATGGGTTGCTTAAACCCTATGTGAATGAAATCTGTAGATCAAATGAGGGGAGTACATGTGTGCTTAAAGTGGTGGGTGGAGGATCACGCCCATGCACATTTCAAAGAATCTATGTGTGCTTTTCTGCTTTGAGGGATGGATTTGTCAAGTGTTGTAGACCTATTTTTGGTCTTGATGGATGCTTTCTAAAGCATGCTTGTGGTGGTCAATTACTGTGTGCTGTTGGTAGAGATGGTAACAACCAAATGTGACCAATAGTATGGGCCGTGGTTGAGGGAGAGAACAAGTCATCATGAGAGTGGTTTATAAGGCTCCTGACCATTGATTTGATGATGAGAGATGGTGAAGGTTGGACTGTTCTTTCAGATCAACAAAAGGTATGTCTGTAGATACTAGTTCCAGCTATTTGGTGGTTGACTGATTTATTTTTGTTGTTGTTTTTTATAACAGGGTATTGTTCTGATATATTGTTGTTTTTGTAGGGACTAGTTCCAGCTATTCATAAAATCTGGTCTTCAATAGAGCATAGGCAATGTGCTAGGCATATTTACTCTAACTGGAGGAAAATACATGGTGGTAGGCAACTTCAACGGTAGTTTTGGAAGTGTGTGAAAGCCACAACAAAGGCAGATTTCTTAGTTGAAGAAGCAAACTTGAGTAAATTATTTGAAAAATTATTGGATGATTTTATGTTAAGGGATTCTAATATATTTTGTAAGTCTCGCTTTAAACTCCACAGTAAATGTGACAGTGTTGATAACAACATGTCTGAGACATTCAACTCATTCATACTTCTTGCAAGATATATACCAATAATATCTATGTTAGAGGATATTAGATTGGCTTTAATGGATAGAATGCAAGAAAAAAGGAAACTGATTAACAGGTTTGTGGATGAGATTTCTCCTAGAATTCAGAAAAGGCTGAAAGATGCTTATAATGAGCAAATAAATTGTGTTCCACATTGGAATGGTTCTGGAGATGAAAGTGGCTTTGAAGTCATTCATAGAGGGGTCAGTCACGAGGTTCATTTGGGTAATAGAACATGTTCATGTAGAGAATGGGAGTTGACAGTGATTCCTTGTGCTCATGCTATAAGTGCTATCATGTTAATGAGACATAAGCCTGAAGATTATATTGCACATTGGTATAAATCTGAGAACTATGTAGCCACCTATGCCAACTTATTGAATCCAGTTGAAGGTAGCAGATTTTAGGATAAAGAGAAAGAGGGAATGGTACTGCCACCTATATTGCAAGGAGGAAAATGGGGAGGCCTAAGACTGCAAGAAGAAGGGACCCCAATGAAGAAATAAGGAAAACATATAAGGCTTCAAGGTAGGAAATAGCCAAGAAGTGTGGGCTATGTGGGTCAACTGACCATACAAGGAGGAAATGTCCAAATCCACCCCCACCTGCTCAAAACAACAAGCACAAAAAACATACAAGTAAGTTTATCTTATGACTTGCTTTATATTTCCATTAAGTAATCAATTATGACTTGCTTTATATTTTTGGTGCACTGTCAGACAACACAAGTAGCAACTGAAGGTACAAGCCAAACCAAAAAGAGAGGGAGACCAAAGGGGAGCAAGAACAGGATTGGTCAATCAGTGAAGGAAATGAGAAGACAAAATATTCCTACGCTAACATCAGTGTTGTTAGAGAGAAGATGTAGAGGTGGAAACAATAGTACACAAGCGGTTTCAGGTTCAACCTAGTCACAAATTCAAACTATTGCAGGGCGGGGGGGGGGGGGGGGGGGGAGTGGGGGGGAGGGCCAGAGGTGTAGGAAGAAATTCACAACGCAATGCCCGAAGGGTTTGGGCTATGGCAAGGTGAACATGGTGAGACAATATACAGAGCAACAAGTCACACAGAGGTCACAATTATCTAAGGATCATCAACTCAAGCATCAGTCAATAACCACCCAAAGTGTTAATTAAGTGACTGTGTTGTGTATATTTTGTCTAGTTTATGTATGCTACATGATGTGTTAAGCACAAACAGTTTGATGTGTTGTGCATATTTTGTCTAGTTAAAATATGCTACATGATGTGTTAAGTGTTAAGCACAAACAGTTTGATGTTGTTATGCATATTTTGTCTAGCTTAAATGTCAGTTTCTGTATGCTACACGATTTGTTATGCACAAACAATTTCTAGGTTTGCATAGGTGGCTCATTATGTCCGTTTTTCAGTTTCTGGGTTAGGAAGTGATGTTGTTGTAGTGGGTTATTGTGAGATTGCATGTGTTTTATGTTGTTAGTGTGAGTTTGCACATGTTTGATGTTGTTACCATCTCAAATTTACAACAAAATGAAAACAAATAATTTCATGTTTGCACATGATCATGTTGTTGTGTCAAGGGTTAAAAGCTACATCACAAACAAAGCATCTGCCACAAATTGAAAACAAAATACAACATTTCATTTGAAAGAGTACATCATACACTGTTACATTGTCATAAACGAGAGCATCTCATTACAATTGCCTACTCAAATTTACAACAAAGAACCCTAAGCAGATTACAACAACTCCACAGACCATAATTATCATCTCATAGAATTTGAGCTTATTCTGGTGAAGTTTGAGTAGATCCTCGCATCTTGTTCTACCAATCTTCAGGTTTGAAATCTCCAATAAATAAGCGTCAGCTTCTCTTTGACACACACGTAGCTCTTCTTTAGTCTTGGCAATATCATCACGATATTCTTTCATCTCATTCTCAGCACGTGCAATCAATTGATCCTTCAGTATATCATTGTTCCTCAGGTTCAATATCTCTTCTCTCAACAGAGGTACCATCTGAGATGCCACATTACACAATTGGCCATCAAACCATTCACAAACATGACAACCACCATTCTAGAACCACATTTTTAAAAACATACTATTAGTCTCAACAAATCAAAGAAACGTTAAAACTGCATTGAAAATTTTACCTTATAGTTTTCGCATTTGTAGAACCTCCTCCCGGGGTTTGCATCTGTCATCGATGTATAATAGCCACATTTAGCCCCACAAGAACAGTTTTTGAACCTCCAGATCTGTTCCTGCTTGAACCCGAACTTGAGCTTGACGAGGCCATGTTGGGATTGCCACTAATTTGAAGATCTGAGTGAAAGGTGAGAAGGAAGGATCTGAAACCTAACTTCAAGTTCATCCCCAAATTTGATCGCGAGTAGGGAATGAGGAAGATGAGAATTTCAATGACATTATATATCCGCGTCATTACTAGACTGCCAACTCATCATCCACATCACCCCTTTAAATGCCACGTGAGCCACGAGAGTTTGAGTTTTGGCCACCGGCGAACAGACTGTGCATTGTTGACAAAAATGCTCATCTTTAATACATTGTTGTCGCCAGAGTTTTTTAAATACCAAATCGGCAAATGCGTTCGTATAAATATACCAATTTGATATTTTAGCTTTAATTAACAATCGGTTTTTCTATAGAGTGCCCATAGGCACTTTATAAGTGAGGAGAGAGATATAGAGAAATGAATTATGCACAGAAATTAATGCAAATCAGGGGGACCAATGAGCTATTCATTTCTTTGTATCTCTCTCCTCCCTTAGAGGCTGTTTGTTTAGCCGTTTTGGCCTTGGGAAGCGGCCAGAAAGCTGCCAAAATGGCAGCTTTCTGGCTCCTTCCCGAGGTCAAAACGGGAGTTTTTCAGCCATCCAAACAGCCCCTTATGGGCACTCTATAAAAAAACCGATTAATTAACATTAACAATAAATGAGACTTTTTTCTTGTTTAAAAAATCAGAAAATAATAATAATAATAAATCAGAAAAACCTCGGACAGTTCTGCCTACTTCTTAAAACCCTACTCAACCCGCGGCAGCCTTCGATCAAGAGAGGAATAAAAAGATAGAGAAAAAAAACTCCGCCGTTATTTTTCTCAGCGTTCTTTGTCCCCTTTATTCTTTGTTTGATTTGATCCTTAGAAACCAATAATGGATTTGCCTCAAAACGATTTCGATCGCCTCATCTTCTTCGAACACGCCCGCAAGGCCGCCGAGGCCACCTACGCCAAGAACCCTCTCGACGCCGAGGTGAGGGATCAAACCCTAATTTGTTATTTTCAATTTTTTTGCAAATTATTCATTTTTCAATAGTTTCAATTTCAAAGCCTAGATCACCTGTTCTTTCTTTTCTTAATGTAATTTATTTTATGAAAAATGTTTTTCCCCCTTGCAGAATCTTACAAGATGGGGAGGAGCGCTTCTCGAGCTATCACAATTTCAGAACGGCACCGATTGCGTAAAGATGGTGACGGGTACTTATATCTAAGGAATAGTAATTGAAATAATCCATCAAAATCTGCCTTTTTATTTTTTCTGATTGTTTATATTTTTAATAGATTCTGTTTCAAAGCTGGAGGAAGCCTTGGAGATTAACCCGGCGAAATCTGACACGCTGTGGTGCTTAGGAAATGCTCACACTTCCCATGCATTCTACACTCCCGATCACGATGAGGCGAATATTTACTTTGCAAAGGCAACTCAGTGTTTCGAGCAAGCAGTTGAGATGGTACTGTGAAGTTTTATTTTTATTTTTATAATAGTTAATTTACATGATTGTTAGTAAGCAAGAAATATCTTTGTTTTTTTGTGTGTGCAGGAACCTGGAAATGAGCTATATGTCAAGTCTTTGGATATGTCCTCTAAGGTAATATCAATATGCTTTAATAAAATGACATATGATTGTGGAGTTTTATTTATTTGCTTGCTACATGGGTAACTGATTGCTGCCGTGGATTTATGACAAGCCCCTTGAATGATCATAGTTGTGCGAAAGATGAAGGGAGCACCAAGAGAGAGGGATGATATCAGGCAGATAGATGGTAATTCAGTTTGAGTCTTATGACTCCAATAGTTCAATTCCATAGTTTCCCTTAATAGGACAAGGCTCGTTTGTGATAGATAGTGTGTTCCCCCTGATTATCATGTGGTTAGTGGTCTGCTGCAGAATGTATGTTTGTTGGGTTTGTTTTATGATGAACTTGATCATCTCGCTAGAAGGGGCTAGTTGTATATAAATGGAGACCCAACAGATTTTCCTCTTAAGAAATTTCAATTTTTGTGTTTGGTTTTGCAACGTCGTAGGTGGGAAAGGTAAACAGAACTATATAAATATAAAACTGTCACAGCAAATGTTGCAGCCAAATTGGTTGCAATAAATTTTGCAAATATCTATCTATCTATACTATTATAGGCAAAACCTGATTGCTACAGTAAGCTCTTGGATTGAAGGCCATTTTGTAATTTTCCTCCTCTTTTACTTTTGTTTCTCTGATTCAAAATGATGAAAAAAATATCAACAAAATAAAAATTCGAAGGGCAATCATCCTTTTAACCTCCTCTTCTTTCTTCCTCTCACACATTAACTGATTTTTCTCTCTCACAAAAGCAACGTGCATTTGAAGGTTTTGCATTAGGTCAGTAAAGCATGTCGAAAAGAATTAGGTTAAAACTAAGGGTTTCTTGCATATGTTCCCACAAATCATCTCTATTTGTAAGTTTGCCCTATAGATATTTGCTAATTTACCCCTGAAGTCTCTCATATTGGATTTTTTTACTCTCAAAATTAAAAAATTACTAATAACCCACTAAATTAAACAAACAATCCCCACAAGTGCATTTACTTGAGACTTTGCAGCTTCTCATCTGGAATTAGCTCAATTCATCGTTCTCTTTGAGGAAAGAAAATAAAAATTTCCATCCAAATTATGCCCGACAAATAGACCCATTACCATTTATGTTTGAGTTTCAGGTTGTCCAAATCAAGCTCAACAAATAGACCCATTACCATTTATATCTGATTCCAAATTCAAGAGACTTCAATGCAGAGCACAAGAACCCCAAACACTTCCTCCTGGTTGCTCCTCACTAGAAGAGAGGGCTTGGGAGGTATAATAAAGGAGCAGATATGTTACATTTTAAAATTATGAAATTAGAAAAGTTGTATGAATTTCGGTCAGCCTATTATACCCAATGAGCTTTTAATTGAAAGTTCAGAGTCATGTACAAACTTCTTCGTGTCATGTGCATCTGCACATGCCTTAGTTAAAAGCATAAAAAGTAAAGTGCCAGTCCATCTATAGTTACTTTTATTTCCTAATTTCTCCTTAATCATATTTATAGCATAAATGCTATGTCAAGTCAGCTTAAATATTATTTTTATCTGGATCCAATGCATAAAGTGTTGTATGGAATAGACCCATCGACGGTAAGAGTTTATTTCTTGCTACAAATGCTCCGTTGCAACATTTCTTGCATGTAATACTTGTCGCATTTCCTAAAACAGATAAACCGTTAAGCGATGGACTGATCGCGCATTAGCGCAAACTCTTAAATATAAGATACACAACTTGTAAGCTTAGGATGCTCTTTTCTTTATGTTTAAGTTTCTTAATTATCTAGTTTTTTAAAGGATGCAAAACACATCTATACTTTCTTCTATAACTCTCGTCTAGTGTATTTAAGTTGTATTTAATATTGTCTTTCTTGTATTTAAGTTGTATTTAATATTGTCTTTCTTGCTACTTTTTTGGTCATCATGAATTATATCAAGTTTATGGGTATGATTCTAGTTACCAGTTGTAGTTGGTTCTCATGCTAAGCTTAATGAGTCGTCCTCTTGATTTCTATTGCTAATGGTTTTTCATGCTGGTTAGCATGATTGTACCTATATTTGAAGCATATCTCTTGCAATTTCCTATATGCACTAAATAATAACTATTAACAATAGCGACTCGTGCAATTCATCTCAGTTTGTACTTTGCTTTATTTTGGAGTAATCCAAAGAAGGTGTTTTTTCAATTATTAAATGGCGTGGTTCAAATCTTTATGAAGGACTATATTGTAACCTGTTTGTTTTGTACCTCTTGTCTGAATTTAAATGAGTTTCCACCTGTTGTTCAGGGCATCCTTATCCAGGAAGAGGTCCATATATGTGGTTGTTGATGCATTTGTTTGTATGCAGTTCTTTCCAGAAAATCCTTTGTTCAATGGGACGTTTAATCAATTTTGTTCTATATTATTGGTTGGTCCTAGAGTAAAATAACCAGTATTCTCCCCATACAATGCACGAGACTTGGCACCACAATATTGTTATAGCAATTATATTGCAATGCTATGATTTTGATAGTTGTATATTCCCTTAATTCTAAAAGTTATCCTATTGATAGAGATATTATTAAAGTAATAATTACAGCAGCGAATTACTATTAAAATAATTATAAGAATGAAGGAGAGAGAAGAAAAAAATAGGTTGTGGAAAAATCAGTAAATAAGTGATAAAGAGAAGCTTGACGGTCAATTGTCTAAGAATGTGTTAAGTGTAACCTATGGTTTTCATTTTAGTGTATAGTATGGACATTATTAGGTGATGTCACAGAAATAATGCGTTTATGTTTGGTGTGGGTTTTCTGATCTTTACTCCAGTTTACGATTAATAAATATTAGGCAGTTGGAAGGTCTACTTGAAGCTCTAGTTATTGTCTTCAAAAGTTTCTGCTCTTTAATTTTTTATCTGCATTGTTCACCAGTATTTCCTGAAGTTGATTCTGTATGCTGGAGTTTGTCTCTGAATTTAATATTACCCTGCCAAAGTCTCTTTGAGTCATACTTCTTCCAGACCACTTTATCTGAAAAATTATCACATGCGTTTACTTACTTTTATCAGAAATTTTGTGCACCGTAAATGTTGCTGAAATTTATGTGCACCGTAAATGTTGCTGAAAATTCTGCTTGTTAAATCTTGAGGTAAAAATTAATTTAGATTTGAAATGTCTGTAACCCTCCCCAACCCACCAAAAAAATTTGTATCAAAGATCTAAAATTCTTAGAGGAGGAAAGAAGACATTTTTCGGTATGGTGGTAGGATTGTGTGTGAGGAGTGGAGGAAACCAGGAAGTGGGGTTTCTTTAACCTCTATGACTATTAAAATAAAAGAATTTAGATTTTATTTTTGACTGGGATGATTTGGATCTTCAGAGTCAAATACCTGACAGATTCTTAGAATTATAAGTTCTCCTGTTTCTCTCGCTTTTGGGTTGTTATAGGTGTTGCATTCCTTTAGAACCTGGCATAACTAAGGTGACGTTTGGATATGAAAATGCAAAAGTGGATTGCTCTCTCCCGCCGCCCTTCTCGTATAAAATTATGTAAACCTAGTCGATATTTGGACTCATTTAGCTGTTCTCTGCTTTTTTTGGAGACCTAAAATCATGTCCTTATGATATCTGTTGCAGTTTCCTTTTTTCATTGAAATAAGCCCCTGTTCACCGTCAATGTTTCTTTTAAACATATTTCTTCACATTGTGCTCATCGTTCATCAAATTCAGTAATATAGTTCTGGATGGATAGGATACTGGAGCCACATTTGGTGTTTCAAATGGCAGCAGCATCGAATTATCTGATAAATCTTTTCACCTACATGGTGGTTCATGATATAACTACATTGCATTAATGCTGTTAGCTTTCTGTGTTTGCCATTCCATTTTCTCAGGTTCATACTATTTATACTTTTGCAGGCACCTGAACTTCATTTAGAGCTACAAAGACAGATGGCTAGTCAACAGGCTCCTCTGGGAGGAGCATCTGCTTCAAATGCTAAGGTAACATAATTACGCCCTTAATTTCCTAATGACTAGAAAGTGTTGAAGTGACATTGTTTTCTTCTGTCTTGTGTGGTCATATAGCATGCATGAGTTAAATCTAACCTTTTATTTTTCTAGTATGTTGTGTTATATCCACCATTTGACAGAGATGGTTTGGCAGTCTAGACTCCAGTGTTTCTAACCTTCTATTCTTTGTATAATCTTTCCATGTTTTGAATTGCGCGATTTGGATTTCTCTAGGATTTTAATTTGGTTGACTCCCTATTTTCATATACATGTTGCTTTGAATCAGCAAAGAGAACTGACATCTTTAAGAATGTGCTATACAATATGTACTGCCATATGGTTTCTCCTGATTTTTGACCATTTCCCTTGTGCTCCTAGGTTTGTAAGAAAAGCCAGGGGTATGAATGTACGATATAAACATTTTAAATAATATGAAATTTATCATACTACTTTGGTGTGGTTTTAAGCTCCTGTTGCTTGGTTGGCAATTGGTGTACCGTGTTTTTCTTAAGTCATGTATCATGTATTCTTTAGCTTGTATTTTGAACACGTGCAGCGTGTGGATATAAGCTTCATCTTGAGTTCCGCCCATAAATGACCGACGCATGTGACTGTATATCTTCTCTGCCCATATCCAGCCTTCTTTGTTAAGATAATTTCATGTTTTAAAAGAATTCAACATGTTTCTTTGAACTCTTTTGAGTCTCCATATTTCCATTTCATATGACAGAGATTCCTTAATGGTCATCTCTTCCATTTTCTCAGTCATCGGTGATGCTTATGCTAATTGGGACTGGGGAATAGTGGTATCGTTTAGGGTCCCATAAGTTAAACCATCCTCTTCCGCCGTAATTTTTTTTCATGTTATGTGGTTATATATGTACAATTATGACTTATCAACTTGTCATATCAACATCCTCATTATGGATTTGTTATGATTAAATCTTCCATACTTTTAGCTGAGCATATGGAACTCTGCTTCAGTGTTGGTATCATTTCCAGACCAGCTAATTAACTCATTAACTTCTCTCATAAATTGTTACTTAAAAGAATCACTTCCATTTTTGCTTTATAATCATGCCATATGTGATTACAAACACTGTAGCGGCTTTATATGCTTACGGACTGGACATTTTAGGGTGTCAACACCAAATATCTACTGTCATGTTTTGTCAATAGCTCTTCATGCTAACTGAGTTTGCTTCGGCAATACTCTTTTAACTAGTGAAACAACCCATCACTGATACTGGTTTTGGCATTCTTCAAAGACTTACCTTGTTCATTTGGGAATTCCAGGCTTCCAAGAAGAAGAAAAAGAAAGAAAGTGATCTGAAATATGACGTACTTGGATGGGTGATTCTTGCCGTTGCCGTTGTAGCATGGGTGGGGATGGCCAAGTCTCAGGTTCCTCCCCCACCTTCCAGGTGAACTTGAAGCTATGGAGGAGGAAGAATGTCTAAAACTCAGAGATGTATAAGCTCGGAGAAAAACTTATGAGCATATATATGATGTAGCTGAAATCATATTCTGATGCTTTAAATTTTTGTTTTATCTTTGTCATCAATGCCTGATCGTAGGAAAGTCTTTTTTACCTGAATATTCTTTAATAGTAATAAGCTTTATGGGTAATTAATTTATCTTTTCTTGGTATGATTGCACTACGATGATATAGTTCCTGAATTTGTTAGCTAGGAATTTCTACTAATGAAATTTGTTTGTCATGGTTGGTGTTACTTTCCGGCAGCTGCCTAAGTCAGGTGAGGTTTGAAAATAAATAGGGTGGCGGGTCCCATCACAAATAATATTATATTAGTGCATAGTGTTTTTCCAAACATTATAATTAAGCCCTAAACTCTTGAGGAAAAATTCATCCCAGAAACTTTTCATATAGAAGAGTAAGAGAAAAAAAATAGAGAGAGTATCTCTTTGTAAAGAGAGATTGTAACTCAAGAGTTTTCTCCTTATAGTGGACTCTTCTATCATTGTCCGTGAACGTAGGTAATTTTGTGTCAAACCACGTAAATCTGTGTGTTCATCTTTTTTTATCTCTATTTTCACTACTATTGCTGCGATCATGTTCTATTGGGTCCCGGGTTTGTCCCAACAAGTGATATCAGAGTCAACTTAAGGTGCTTGTATATATCTACTTATCGTATGTTTTGTGGCTGTCACCAAAGGTGGATCATTCACATCAAAAAATAAGTTAGGTTATCATTTACCTTCTAAAGGTGACGGGCACTATTCACGAGGACAGTTCTGGTCATAAATACGATACTATTCACAAGTACGATACTATCCACGGATATAGTTACTGTTCATAAATACAGTTACTACTTACGTGAGATAGTAAGAAGTTACTGTTCGTGGTAGAAGCAATGACGGCAAAGTTCAAGATTGAGAAATTCAACGGGAGTAATTTCTCACTGTGGAAGTTGAAGATAAAAGCTATCTTAAAAAAAGATAATTGTCTGGCGATCATCGGTGCAAGGCCGGACGACATCACAGATGATAGAAAGTAGAACGAGATGGATAAAAATGCTATTGCAAATCTCCATCTGGCATTAGCAGACGGGGTGTTGTCAAGTATAGAGGAGAAGAAGACAACAAAGGAGATCTGGAATACTCTAATAAATCTATATGAGGCGAAATCCATGCACAATAAAATCTTCTTAAAATTGTGACTTTAGACTCTTAGGATGACAGAATCTACATCGATGATCGATCACATCAACACCCTAAACACACTGTTCTCCCAACTCACAATGTTGGGGTATACAGTTGGTGCAAATAAACGTGCAAAACTTCTACTTCAGAGTCTACCTGACTCGTATGATCAACTCACCATCAACCTGACAAGCAACGTTCTTACGGACTATCTAGTTTTCGACGATGTTGCAGTCGCTGTTCTGGAGGAAGAAAATCAGCGCAAGAACAAGGAAGATAGGCAGACAAGTTCGCAACAAGCGGATGCCTTATCGATGACGAGAGGAAGATCAACGAAACGTGACTCCAATGAGAGTCATGCCCATGGTAGATCAAAATAACGAAGTAAGAAGAATATCAAATGCTACAACTGTGACAAAAAGGGGCACGTCAAATCGGAGTGTTGGCACAATAAGAAGAATGGAGATAAAAAGTCTTCAGAGCCATCAACATCTCAAGGATGCGTTGTCAGCACATCAGACGATGGTGAAATTTTATACAGCGGAGCAACCACTGTTGATGAAGGCAAAAAGAGATTTGCTGATGTCTGGCTTCTGGATTCTGGATTCAGCAGCCTCCTCGCACATGACCTCCCGGAGAGAATGGTTTCACAAATATGAACCTATCCCAGGAGGATCTGTATTCATGGAAAATGATCATGTCTTGGAAATTTCTGGTATTGACACTTTCAAAATCAAAATGTTTGATGGTACAATACGCACTATTCAAGATGTGCGACATGTGAAAGGTCTGAAGAAGAATCTTTTGTCTTTAGGACAATTAGATGAGTGTGGGTGTAAGACCCATATAGCAAACAAGATCATGAAGATTGTTAGAGGGACGCTTGTTGTTATAAAAGGAGAGATGATAGCTACAAATCTATACATGCTCATGGGAGAAACCTTGCAGGAAGCTGATTCATGTGTGGTATCAACCAACCGTGGAGAAGAACAAACCATGATGTGGCATCGCAAACTAGGCCACATATCAAAACGAGGCTTGAAGATTCCCTCAGATTAGAAGCTGCTTCCTTGACTTAATTCGGTAGCTCTTACATTCTATGAGCATTGTGTTACAAGTAAGCAACATCGGCTGAAGTTTAACACATCAAGTTCTAGAAGCAAGACTATTCTGGAACTGGTTCATTCTGATGTATGGCAAGCACTGGTTACATCCTTGGGAGGAGCAAAATATTTTGTGTCCTTTATTGTTGACTACTCCAGGAGATGTTGGGTGTATCCTATCAAGAAGAAGGTGGATGTGTTCTCAGTCTTTAAAGCCTACAAAGCGCAGGTCGAGCTTGAATCTGAGAAGAAGATCAAGTGCTTGAGGTCAGATAATGAAGGAGAATACACATACGGTGAATTCCTAGCATTCTGCAAGCATGAAGGCATCAAAATACAATTCAGTACGACTTATACTCCTCAACAAAATGGAGTGGCGAAGCGGATGAACATAACTCTGTTGGAAAGAACAAGAGTTATGTTGGTAACTGCAAATCTGGATAAATTCATTTGGGCAGAAGCAGTAAAAAACGCCTGTTATGTGGTAAATCGATCTACATCAACTGCAATACAATTGAAGATGCTGATGGAGATGTGGACTGACAAGCCAACTGATTATTCTAACCTCCATATATTTGGAAGTCTAGTGTACGTAATGTACAATGCCCAAGAAATTACAAAGCTGGATTCAAAATCCAAAAAATGCTTATTCTTGGGATATGCTAATGGAGTAAAGGGGTATCGCCTGTGGGATCCCACTGCCCACAAGGTTATCATTAGCAGAGATGTTATCTTTGTAGAGAACCAACTACAAAGTGGAGAGAAAGAAAGCAGTTCGAGGAAGGACACAGAGACTGTAGCTGTTCCGGTAGAAGATAATCTGAATTCTTCTGAAGCAACACCGGAGCATGATGTACAAGAACCGGTCGAGTCCGAAAATCTGAATTCTTCTGAAGCAACACCGGAGCATGATGTACAAGAACCGGTCGAGTCCGAGGCTCCAGAAATTCGAAGGTCAACGAAGCAACACCGGAGCATGATGTACAAGAACCGGTCGAGTCCGAGGCTCCAGAAATTCGAAGGTCAACTCTTGAGAGAAGACCACCGACTTGGCACTCGGAGTATATTACGGAGAGTAATGTTGCATACTATCTTCTAACGGAGGATGGGGAACCATCAACTTTTCATGAAGTTATAAATAACACAGATGCATATTTGTGGATGGCAACAATGCAGGAAGAAATTGAATCTCTCTATAAGAACAAGACTTGGGAACTTGTGTCATTGCTACAAGGAAGAAATACCATTGGAAACAAATGAGTCTACAAGATCAAGTGAAATGACGATGATCAAGTTGAGCGATATCGTGCTAGATTGGTGGTAAAAGGATATGCTCAGAAAGAATGTATTGATTTTAATAAATTATTTTCTCCTGTAGTTCGACTTATAACAGTTCGAATAGTCCTGGATATGAGCGCTACATTTGACTTACATCTAGAGCAACTAGATGTGAAAATAACATTTCTTCATGGAGATCTTGAAGAAAAAATTTACATGCTCCAACCAGAAGGTTTTGAAGAAAAAAAAGAGAGAACTTTGTTTGTGGATTGAACAAATCTCTGTACAGTCTAAAGCAGGCGCTGGTGTGTTGGTATAAGAGATATGATCCATTCATCATGAGACTTTGATACAACAGACTTAATTCATACTCTTGTGTATATTTCAAGAGGTTTGGTAAAAATAACTTTGTTATCTTATTGTTGTATGTTGACGACATGTTGGTTGCATGCCCCAACAAAGATCGTATCAAAGAATTAAAGGCTCGGTTGACTAGGGAATTTGAAATGAATGATTTAGGATCTGCAAATAAGATTCTAGGGATGCAAATTTACCGAGACAGAGTTAATAGGAAGATTTGGTTTTCTCAGAAGAACTATTTAAAGAAAATCTTGCGGCGTTTTAACATGCAAGATTGTAAGTCAATTTCTACCACACTTCTTGTTAATTTTAAGTTATCCTCCAGTATAAGTCCTAGCAATGAAGAAGAGATGATGGAGATGTCTCGAGTACCGTATGTATCAACACTGGGATGCTTAATGTTCGCTACGATTTATACAAGACCATACATTGCACAAGCAATGGGAGTAATTAGTCGATACATGGCGAATCCTCGTAAAGAGCATTGGAATGTTGTAAAGAGGGTTCTAAGATACATTAAGGGAACCTCAAGTGTTGCATTAATGTTATGAGGGATCTGATTTTATTGTCAGTGGATATGTTGATTCTGATTATGTAGGTGATCGTTATAATAACAAATCCACCACAGGCTATGTGTTTGCAATTATTGGCAGAGCTGTAAGCTGGGTTTCAAAACTGCAGTCAGTTGTGACTACTTCAACAACAGAAGCAGAGTATGTAGTAGCTACACAAGCTAGTAAAGAGGCGATATGGTTGAAGATGGTGCTGGAGAAACTCAACCATGAACAAAAGAAGATATCTCTATTTTGTGACCGTAAGAGTGCTTTGCATTTAGCAAAAAATCCAGTCTTTCATTCAAAGACCAAACACATTCGAGTTCAGTACCACTTCATTCGTAAGAAAGTGGAAGAAGGAACAATGGATCAGAACATTCACACCAAAGACAACTTAGCAGATTTTTTGACAAAAGCAATCCATACTGATAAATTTATTTGGTGTCGATCTTCTTGTGGTCTGTCGGAAACATGAGCAATATGAAGATGGCAAGATAGAAAGAATAGTATGAATACATGATTGTTACATAATCAAATCTTCAAGTGAGAGATTGTTAACCAAAATCCTTGACTCCTCAGCCGCAAAAGAAAGAAAGAAAATAAAAAACGTGGGCTGTTGCCTAAAGTTAGGCGAGGTTTGAAAGTAAAAAGAGTGGCGGGTCCTATCATAAATAATATTAT